CTAATACCATGTGAATACTATGTAAATAGCTGCTGGCCAAGGTACATTCAAGTTTTGTTTTCTGGAACTTTCTATAATTTTCTTTTCTGAATATTTTCCATCTGTGCTTGGTTTAATCCTCCAGTGTGCAACCCTCAGATATAGGGGGCCAAATGTACATCTAAAGTGCTGTAGTAACAGTAAGTAGCGGGACACAGCAGAAGGCGTAGTCGAAAGATTTACAGGGCAACTGAAGGGAGAAAGGGGTCTTAGATCTACAATAGAGCATTGGACTGGAAAATATTGAGAGATTCTTGAAAATTTGAGCTTTATAAAAACAGTGAATGCAAAAAAATTCAGGAGTAAATATCTGATTTTAAAGTTGTTGACTTTAAATAGAGTGAGTTGACTTCTATTCTTCATACTGTCTTTGATGATTATATAATTACTTTTCTACTCAGAAAACAAAACCAAAAACCAAGAAGTCTTTTTAAAGAAAATAAGTGGTTGTTACTCTGTCCCTTCTGCTAAACAAGGGTTCTCAAAGTTGAAAATGTATCAGAAATCACCAGGATGGTTGGTGAAAAGAGATTGTCACCTCTGCCCCTCCCTCCTATTCAAAAGATCTGGGTGGGGCCTGATAATTTGCATTTCTAATATGTTCCATTGGACTAAAAGATGGCAACATAGAACAGCTATGTGGTGTCCAGAAAATGACTGGGTTTTGAGGTCAGTCAGATTGTAATTCTGGTTCTGCCCTTACCAGGCTGTGTGTAGCAACAGTTGACATACTTTAACCCCAGTCAGCCTGTTTCCACACTGATAAGTGTCTTGTGAAGCCTGCATGATATGATTAAATATCCACTGCAGTGTAGCCCTTAGTTAATGTCCTTAAATAATGTTGGTCCCCTTCTCTTTGACTTCCTGTAAGGAATTAACCACACATTGGCCATAACTGGGTTTTACTGTGACATGGTTTAGCCATATCACAGGCAAAATTATTTCCTCCAAACCCAACAAACCATGTGCATTCCTCTGCTATTAACAAAATTTTCATTGTTCATTTATAAAATTGGGGAAAATGGTATTGATAGAATAGTATCTACTTTGATGTAATAGATAATAGTATCTATTTTGCAGAGGTGCAGATCAGCATCCATAAGGATTAAACAAGGTAATATGCTAAGTGCCTAATTTAGCAATTAGCATGTGGAAGATAGTCAATATCAGTTTCTTTTCCCTTTTTTTAAAACAATTCACTTATTTACTGGGCTGCGTTGGGTCTTTAGTTGTGGCATGTGGGATCTTCATTGCATCACGTGAGATCTTGGTGACCCAGGGACTCATGGGCTCAGTAGTTGCTCCAAGGCATCTCGGATCCTTAATTCCCCCAACTGGAATCAAACTGGTGCCCCCTGCATTGCAAAGCTGATTCTTAACCACTGGACCAGCAGGGTCGTTCCTCCTTTTCCTTTCAATTGGCTATTTCTCATTAGTATCTCTTAGAGAAAGTTCGAAATGGTCTAGAATAGCTCAAAACAATCTTTCCACCCTAATCAGAATGTTTCTGTGTCACATTTAATTTGAATTTGATTATTTGGTTTATTTAAATACTGGTAAGGACACACTCTATATAAACTATCATATTGGATGTTCAAGGAGATAAGTAGACGACTGTTACCTGATTCTGAGTAGAGGTGACAATATACTTGAAAAGTTGAATAGAAATGCAAGGCCAGGTAGGACAAATCATACTTTTCTAAGTGTGCTAGGAATTTTGAGATTACAGTGGTTGATCTGATTATCTTGCACTAAGAACTAGAGAATTACTAAAAGTTGTAAGAGAGCTATCGATTTTTTGCTGAGAAAATAGGTCCAGAGTTCTAAGTGGTCTAGGGGCACAGCTATGGAATGGTAGGGGTTTCCTGTCTCCTGGTCCCATGCTGTTTATAGATTTGCTTCTTACTTTAAGTAGGCAGTATGGTGTTGCTAGTTAAGCACTGGGTTCTACAGCTAAAATGTTTGTATTTGAGTCCTGGTTTTGCCAGTTACTATTTGTGTGACTTTGGGCAAGTCACTCATCTTTATGCTTCAGTGCCCCATCTATAAAGTGAAAATAACTACAGTACCTTATTTCACATTGTTGTTATGAGAATTCACTAACAATACATGTAAAGCATTAAAAATTGTGGTTTTGTTGGTATAACTGCCATTAGTCTTCAAGAGAATGGAAGACAAAAAAAATCTAGTCTTCTGCTTTTTCCTTCTTTTTCTTCTTGGTGAAACTTCTTCCCTCAGATTCTGATCAAAGCATCCAGATGAGTGCTCAAAGAATACATGTTAGCTACCTTAATTCTACAAGATAAAAACACATTTTTGTATCTTACAAGTAAGACTTGGGATCTGCAGAATTCTGGCCTAGTCTGGTTAACAGGAAAGTTTAGAAAAGTAAAAACTGAGATAGTAACAGATTCTAGGACCCAACAGGTCTTCTTTAAAAAAGCCAAGATCAATAGGTGCAGAGAAAGATGGAGGTCAATGAATCTATTTTCAAATTAGGTCTCCCATCTATTTCAAGATCCATTCCAAACTCTCTTGGAAAAAATTTAGCCTTTTAAGGAAAGTGCAGAGAACATGCCTCCCGCGGGTTTGTTTCGAGGGAATGTCTTAGCAGGTGCTGCGTTCTGCCCTGGAGGTGGCTGCGAGGATTTGTGAACTGAGGTGATAACATCGACTCCCTCCGGAAGAAAAGATGCTGTCTCTACACAGGAAGTTTAACTACCATACTACTTGAACCACGATGAACAAAAAAGAAAGAGGAAGAGGACAACGGGGAGAAAGAAAAGAGGCAGGAGAAAAAAGAGGAGGAGAAGGAAGAGGAAGCAACAGAAACCTCTGTCAATTCAGTCACAGTTCAGTTTAAAATTTAAATTTCACTTAAGAGAAATCAAGAACACCATCCCCCTAACCTCCCCCCCCCCCCCCCAGCACCTTTCTCAAATGCCTGCAGAAAAAATTCTAGGACTAATTTACAAGCCAAAAGGGCTGTCTCAGAAATAGGGAGCAAGTGGAGGTGAGAAATAACTTATATTCAGGGATTTGAAAAATCATGCATCTGGGGAGGGGGGATGGGAAAGGATTTGGCACTACTGTCATCATCATCTATCAGGAAATCTAGGGATGGAGAAGGGTACCAAGAGGGGTCCAAATCTTCTGCCTTTGACAGATGCAAACCACACTGTCCACCTCCATTCTGCGCACTCGGGCGATAACAAGGTAAAAGAAGCATCAAAACGGGAATATTGAAGAGGAAAGACATAAGTCAGTCTAGAGTTCTCGTGTGGGCGGGGGTTAAATGAAGGTCAGGCAAAACCACTGCATCAGAAAAGGTGGAAGAATTAAGGGTCACCGACAAGCCCCGAAAATTGGGGTCGAGCCAAGGGTTTGGGTCGCCTGGTAGCTAGCCCATGATTTGCTCCGCACATACGCTCTCTAAGTTTCTCAGTTTGAGTCTCGCCTGCAAATTTCCTGAAAAGGCACCGTCTTATTAAGGGTTTTCACAGTGCCTAGCTCAGAGCTGACCGCTGAGCCTCTTCTCAACATCCGTGAGCAAAAGCTGCTTTTGAAGTTGGGAGGAGGAAGGGCTCTAGTTTTATTATGTTAGGGTTAGCTTTGAGGTGTGGCCAGGCACCAGCGGCCAGCGAAAATTTCCCCATCGCCCTCCGTCTTCCACCTCTGTCCAGGTGACGTAGGTAAGCCCCGCAAGACCCACTAGGGGATAAGCGGCTAAGCCGCGTCCTTCAGGTGTCAGCCTTGATCCATTTGGAAACCACAATCCCCAGAATCCCTTGTGCAGGGAGGTCAAGTCGCAAATAAGATGGCTCCAGAAGGGTGGAACATGCAGCAGGGTGGAAACCCTAGTCCCTGGCAGTTTCTTTACCGGATGTGTTTAAAGAACCGAATCCCACAAATGCACCACCCCGCTAACCACCTCCGTGGCGGAGAAGGCCACCGCAGCCGCCTCGCTCGCTCCTCCAGGGGCATCCTGGGAGTTGTAGTCCAGCCGCTAAGCTGCAGTGAACTACCTTTCCCATGGTGCTCTACGGGTCGGGCAATATCAACGTTCTTTTCCAAAACTCTCTTCTCACTGAGACCCCATTTCCCCACTCCCCTTCTCTCCGACAACGCGTTCTCATTCTTGGTGACAGAGTGGAGGCCGCCAGGGGCCTCAGCCCCTGGCCCTGCCGCTCGGGGAGGCACTTCCGGCGGCGGTTCACTTCCTGGTTGGGTGGATGGAGCCGGGCGGGAGCGCGCGCGGGGGAGGGGCGGCGGGTCAGTCTCCGCCGGGCGCTCCGGGGATCAGCTGGCGGGCGGGCGGGCGCCGAAGGCGGCCCCGGCTCTCGCTGCAGCGCCGCCTCCTCTCCGCGTCGCAGGCCGGCCCGGCGGCCGTGACAATGTTGCGGGGCTGGTAGCTGCGCGCCGGCCGCCGAGCCATCTCAAGTGGGTGCCGCCGGGATGCTGCCTCGCGGGGCGGCAGGGAGACCGGGGAGGAGGGGAGGCATTGCCCGCTGGGTCAGCGCTGCCCGAGGTGGCCCGAATTCCTCCTTTTTCAGAGCCCAGGGCAAGGGAGTCCCGGGTTCTGGGGCCGGGGACGCGTTCTCAGCCCCAGGGTTTTTCTCTCTTAAGAAAATTCATGAAGCGTTTCGCCAGGATGGTGGCTTCTGCTCCCCCTAGGACTCAGCAGTTGAATTTTTAAGTGTGTTACTGATTCATCCTCTCTCTCTTCCTCTGTCATCACAGGTTTAAACTTACACGAATCGCTCTCTTGAGGAGGAGGGGACCGCCGCGCGATTGACACGCATATTCCTTTAGGCATCCTCCCTCAGCCCCCACCCCCACGGCCGGATTCGGGTGGCTCCTCTCCGAGCTGAAATCCGAGAAGAAATCCTTGGATCTCTTGTTTTAAAAAAAAAAAAATCCAGAAGCCGTCGGTATTTTGCTTTCCTGCTTCCTTTCGCATGATGAAGAAGTTTTTCGACTCCAGGCGAGAGCAGGGCAGCTCTGGCCTGGGCTCCGGCTCCAGCGGAGGAGGGGGCAGCACCTCGGGCCTGGGCAGCGGCTACATCGGAAGGGTCTTTGGCATTGGGCGACAGCAGGTCACTGTGGACGAGGTGCTGGCGGAAGGTATGGTGGGACTTTTTCGGTGCGCCGTAAATTAAAATCTTGTGCTGATGCAGCACAGTTGTTGAATGTATGAATGGCTTTTGCCCAGTTGACCCTCCCTTCTCCCTCCCCTTGCCCTGTAAATCCTTGTCCTTGAGAAATTTGAAACGGGGATTTCAGAGTGACAGGGCTTTATGGGGTGGGGGGAGTTTGCCAGAAAGTGTTTACCTCGGTGGCCTTTTATTAAAGAAAAAAAAATTGACAAGACAGTTCTTGCCTGCCTCATCGAATTGTGAAGATCAGACGAGAAAAACGTATGTGTGAAAGTGCAGAGCTTCACATCAGATGTAGGGTGTGGGGCTTGTGATCCTCCTAAAACTTGAAATACTGATGTGAGGGCTGCAGGGTGGGGTTGGAGAACCTTGAAGAGGGGTTTCTCCTCCTACCCAACTTTCCCTCTCCCTTGAGCAGGGCTTGGAAGGAAGAGAGGGTTTTCAGGGAATCAGAAGGTGTTTTTCCAAGAGCCAAGGCTCTTGGTGGCTTTGACTAGGTTTGTTTCCTGACCTAACAGTAATCAGGTCCCCAGGATACAGTTTGGATAACAGAAATTACATGGAATGAATGTGGTTATTTTGAAATTGGTCCAGTGGGCCCCTCTTCTTCCTATTCTTTTGATTTTGGGGTGTGTGTGTGTGTTTTGCCAAAAGAATTACTTGAGAGTGGCATCTGACTTTTGCTTTTTCTCTGTTGGAGAGGGTGTTATTTAGATCTACTATGTAAATTCCCTACATGTGTGTTCTGTATATCTACAGACATGTAGATATATATCTTTATCCCCCAGGCTTTCTGGAAATTATTGCATGTCTCTTTTGGTAACCTTAACCTTGACCTTCATAATTATGCTAGACTCATACTTTTCACAGCCCATTGCCTGCCCAGTGTGCTTTTATTTTGAATAAAAGCAGCAATTTCCTTGGCATGAAGCTATTCAAACTAATTGGATGGGGCCAACCTGCTGTAGGTTGTTTTATCGGCTGACACGGGATGTGGGAAGGGGAGGCCTATATTTATGCAGCATGGTGGGGGAACAGTTCAGTTGCTGGGGAAGGAGACTTTTTGCAACCTAAGGTTGGAGCAAGGGTCCTGACCCAGTCCCGGGAACTGCCTGTCACCGTGAGTGTTGCTGCTGGTGGGCTTGGAGGAGGAAGAAGGGGTGTCAGGCTCTCAGCTTGTATCAGCATGGGATTCAGCTGGGCCCAGTTTTCTGGGGTTATGGCTGAAGTCTCTACTTTAAAAACAGTGTCAAAAAGAACGTCTGGCAGTGGATGTCCTTATGAAATTGTCGCTCTTTTCCATTCTCATTGCTGCTCTAGCTGGACTTGATCCGGGGTCTGAGTCACTGTCCCTTTGGATCCCTCCTTGTGGGCTTCGGTGCAGGATGGGAGATGCTTCTGTGCCCGCTGCCAGCGCCTCACCGTTGAGTCTGATCTGTCTCATCCCTGTGCCAGAGCCCTGGCCCGCAGTGGGATGGAGAAATGGAGAAGGAGTGTGTCTGTGAGAGAGAAATTGGGAAGAATGAGGGGGTGTCAAGCTCCTTCCTTCCCTCTCATCAGCCTCTGCTGACCTTACAGTCCAGAAACATTTTGTTCAGCTAGGATGTTGTCTCGTTAGAGAGGAGGTAACCCTAAGTGGTGCCACTTCTCAGTCTGAGTTGATGGGGAAGAGAAAAGGCAAATTTTCCATCTGTGCTGCCCTTTTCTTCCCCAGAATTCATCCCTGAGAACTGTACATCATGCCCTTTTATTTTTAAATGGAATTGAGAGCTTGCAGCTCTGTGTTCATTCATTCGTTCATTCAACAAACAGTGATAGAATGTCTGCGATGTACCAGGCACTGTGCTAGGCTCTGGGGAATACAATTTAAAACTAGATGCTAGAATTTACATACTACTTTGAGAGATGGAAAACAGCCAGTTAAAATGGAGTGATATGAGCCATCATGGAGATTAACTTAGGGTGCAGCAGCTTCCAGTTTTAGAGTGCCAAGACTTGCTTGCTGCAGGAAGCGACTAACTGAAGGATGAGTCGGAATTATCCAGGTTCAGTGACGGCACAGACACTCAGAGTAGCAAGTGGGAGAGCCATGGAAAACTTGGTTTGGCAGTGTTGCCCTCTTTATGTTCTTTGACTCTTAATTGAATTTGAATTTGAATTTGTGGCTGTTAGAAGTATATTGGGCTTCCCAGGTGGCACTAGTGGTAAAGAACCTGCCGGTCAATGCAGGAGATAAAAGAGACATGAGTTTGATCCCTGGGTCAGGAAGATCGCCTGGAGGAGGGCATGGCAACCCACTCCAGTATTCTTGCCTGGAGAATTCCATGGACAGAGGAGGCTGGCAGGCTACAGTTCATGGGGTCACAAAGAGTGACTAATACACACACACACACACAGATGTATATAGCTATGGAGGAGCCAGTATACAAAGTACCTGTGAAGTACCCACCAAGTACAAAGGTACTACTAGGGTCTGAGAAGGAGGATATAGGGAGGTTTAAAGTGTAATGCCTGCCTTTGAGGAGCTGCCAGTGAATTTAGGAAAACAAGGCAAAGGCAGACTTTCACTCCTACAGTGAGGTGTTTACCAGCGCTGTCTGTGGAATCAGGCAGTGAAAGTGAAAGTCGCTTAGTTGTGTCCAGCTCTTTGCGACCCCATGGACTATACAGTCCATGGAATTCTCCAGGCCAGAATACTGGAGTGGGTAGCCTTGCCCTTCTCCAGGAGATCTTTCCAACCCAGGGATTGAACCCAGGTCTCCTGCATTGCAGGCAGATTGTTTATCAGCTGAACCACAAGAGAAGCCCAGGAATACTGGAGTGGGTAGCCTGTCCCTTCTTCAGTAGATCTTCCTGACCTAGGAATCAAACATTGGTCTCCTGCATTGCAGATAGATTCTTTACCAACTGAGCTATCAGGGAAGCCCCCAGATCCAGGTTCAAATTCTGGATCTGTTCTTGACCAGCTGTGAAACCTTGGGTAAGACAATTACAGCCTCTCTTGGATCTCTCCGACAGTGGTAGTCAAAGTGTGACACCTGGGTCAGGAGCATCAGCATCTCGTGCAGGAGTTTATTAGAAATGCAAATTCGGGCCTCACCCCAGAGACTGTGGCTGTGGGGCTTTAACAAGTTCCTGGAGAGATTCTGCTGCAAGCTGAAGTTTCAGAGCCACCGCCCTAGGGAGCAGTCTTGAAGATTAAATGAGGCGACGTATCTAAATTACTTAACATTTTTCAGATGTTCAATATTTGGGAGCTACTATTTTTCAGCCATATAGGCAGAACTAAGGAGGAGTAGGGGCAATGTGAAGGCTAGCTTGACTGCAGCTACTCCCCCCGCCCCCCAGTGTGGGTGGACAGAGCCAAATGTTCTTTGCAGAGGCCTCATTGCTAAGGGGTCAAGAGATGTTTGGGGTAGCCATGCTCCTTTAAGGCCCCAGGTGCTGACCTAGCCACCCTTCCTAGCCAGAGGTGTCTCAGGCCGATGAGAGTTGTACATCAGGTGCCCAGGGCAGTGGCCAGGTAATTCAGGAGGGGTGATGCAGTGGACTTCAAGCACAGACCTTGTTACCACCTCATCCCGCTGACCATCCTTTCTCTCATGTGGGTTTGGTCTGTCCTTTATAGGGGGGAATTGCAGGAACCCTACGGACAAGCTGCGGGAGCAGAAGATCAGTGGCTTCAGCCCTGCTCACCGCGTCTCACTTACTAGTCCTGGGGGGTGGGGGTTGTCTGGGGAAGTGAAGGCTCTGCATCACCAGTTCAGAGGGTCTGGCTTTGTCTTGGCTGGCTCAGGGTTGGATATTGTTTCTCTAGCTTCCTCAGGAAAGATACCATGATGAGATACTAAATTCTGTCTGAGGTAAAGGGTGTGGGATGTCAAGGGAAGATCTGGTTTAAGCTTCCAGAATAAGCTCAATGGGAAAAGTGGAGCAATGCTCAAAGGAGGTCTGAGAAGCTATGCTTTATCACACCTCCTTGGCTGAATGAGGCCTTATACCTAAGCTCCAGACTCAGGTAAATGTTGACTCCCTGCTGTGTCCAAAACAACATTCCAGAACTGCGTGGGTTTATATAAGGTGGACAAGGGGGCCCTTCAGGACAGTATTTTGACCTCCACTAAAAGAATTCAGGTCTAGGGTTAATGAGAACTATCCAGTTAAGTCTCTGTGGCAGTAAACATTGACAGTGTCTCCTACTTACAGTGCAAAGTGGTGACACTTAAAAATTACATGTGAAACCAGCTAAACCAACAAATGTGTGTGTATCTATATGTGTGTATGTCAGAAATAAGTATTAGCAGTATCAGTATGATGCACGCATGTATTCATTTAGGGAGTGTCAGTGCCTTCTCTGTATCAGGCACTGTATTAGATTACAAAGCTAGAGGATGAATGGAACTTGGGCCTGGCTCTTAAGGAGCTCATTGTTGTTCAGTCAATAAGTCATGTCTTACTCTCTGTGACCCCATGGACTGCAGCAGGCAAGGCGTCCCTGTCCTTCTCTATTTTCCTGAGTTTGCTTAAATTCATGTCCATTGAGTTGGTGATGCCATCCAACCATCTCATCCTCTCTTGTCCCCTTCTTCTGCCATCAGTCTTTCCCAGCGTCAGGGTCTTTTCCAGTGAGTCAGCTCTTCACATCAGGTGGCCAAAGTATTGGAGCTTCAGCTCCAGTCCTTTCAGTGATTATTCAGGGTTGACAGATTTGATATAAACCAACAAATAATCCTAAGATTAGTGTCCAGCATTTAGCATGGTCCTGGATATAGAGTACATGGTAAAAAGATGTTATGAGATGATAAAGGAGAAAGGCCCTGGGGCGGAGGGTTTCCAGATGAAGTGTCATTTAAACAGGAATGTAAATTACCCAGAGGTTCTCCATGAGGGCTACCCAAGCCTTTCCAAGCAGAAAGAATAGCATGTGCGAAAGTGTGGGGTGGGGAGACAGTGTGGTGAGTTCTGGGA